TCCAGCCCCTTCCCATGGGGCTGTGGGGTTGGGATTTGGGGTGCAGTACCCCTGGCACCACATCCAGCCCCTTTCCATGGGTCTGTGGGTGCAGTTCCCCTGGCACCACATCCAGCCCCTTCCATGGGGCTGTGGGGTTGGGATTTGGGGTGCAGTACCCATCCCGCTCAGTGCCCATCCCGCCAAGCCGGGGATCAGCAGCAGGGCTGATCGGTTCGGAGCAGAAAGTCGGGATTTATCAAAGCCAGGCAGCTCCAGGGAATGCAGAGGGCCCGGTGGGAGCAGCCTGGGGATGGCAGAGGAGCTGGGCTCGGCTCAAAGGCAGCTGCTCCGGCACACAAGTGACAATCAAAGGGCCTAAATGAGTCTGGATTTGTCGTCTGCCCGCACAAACCCCGTCAGACGTGTTTGGCTTTGTGTGGCAGCAGAACGGGGCTCAGCTCGGTGGGTTTGTGCTGAGGAGTGAAACATCCCGCCCGAGTCGGGGATTCCACAGGACCGACTCTGGCAGCCAAAGTTTGTCCCAGTGTCACTCCAAGTGTCGTGGCCCCCAGCCAGAAGCTCCTGGGGGGACCCACCAGGCCCTGGGCTCAGTTCTCTCCTCCAGCCTCCTCTGGCAGCACGGAACCTGGAATGCTTTGGGTTGGAAGGGTCCTGGAAGCTCATCCCAATCCCAAACCCTGCCAGGGGTGTGCCACCACCCAGACCGGGCTGCTCCAGCTCCATCCGCAGTCCTGGCAGCTCTGGGCTGGGGAGGTGGCCCTGGGGACGCTGGCATTGTCCCCACACCTCCCAGAGCCACTGCACCCCCTGGGACAGCCGGGACGCTGCAGATCCCTCCGTGCCACCCTTCCCCTCGCTGGCCCGGCTTGGTGACGAGCAGGACGAGGGATCTGCGCGAGGAGCACGTTGTGGTGGCCCTGGGGACCCTTGGGCATCCCAGCACGGGGACACCGAGATCACCACCATGTCCCCAGGTGAGCCCAGCCAGGGCCGGGCTTGGATGGGATCCCACCCATGGGACACCTCCGGCTCACCCAGCAGACGGGTTTATCTCAAAGCAGCCCCAAACCTCATCCTCGTGGATCTGCAAAGGCACTTCGCCCGGCCCCGCCTGGGAATGTCCCACGTGGGAATGTCCCACATGGGAATGCCCCTATGGGAATGTCCCATGTGGGAATGTTCCACATGGGAATGTCCCACCTGGGAATGTCCCACGTGGGAATGTTCCACGTGGGAATGTTCCACCTGGGAATGTCCCACGTGGGAATGTTCCACATGGGAATTTTCCACATGGGAATGTCCCACCTGGGAATGTTCCACATGGGAATGCCCCTATGGGAATGTCTCACATGGGAATGTCCCACATGGGAATGTCCCACCTGGGAATGTTCCACCTGGGAATGTCCCACCTGGGAATGTCTCACATGGGAATCCCCATATGGGAATTTTCCACATGGGAATGTTCCACGTGGGGATGCCCCTATGGGAATTCCCCTATGGGAATGGTCCACATGGGAATGGTCCGCATGGGAAAGTCCCTCATGGGAATGTCCCACATGGGAATTTTCCCATAGGAATGTCCCATGTGGGAATGCCCCTATGGGAATGTCCTACCTGGGAATGCCCCTGTGGGAATGTCCCACGTGGGAATGTTCCACATGGGAAAGTCCCGCCTGGGAATGTCCCATCTGGGAATTTTCCAAATGGGAATGCCCCACACTGGAATGTCCTACCTGGGAATGCCCCCCATGGGAATGTCCAACATGGGAATGCCCCTATGGGAATGTCCCTGTGGGAATGTTCCACATGGGAATGTCTCACGTGGGAATGTTCCACATGGGAATGTCCCACACAAGAATGCCCCACACAAGAATGCCCCCCATGGGAATGTCCAACATTGGAGGTCCCACCTGGGAATGTCCAACATTGGAGGTCCCACCTGGGAATGTCCAACATTGGAGGTCCCACCTGGGAACGTCCCGCTCAGCGTTCCAGCGGCGCTGGGGCCGGGGCAGGGAGCCGGGCCAGCGGTGCCGCGTTAGGACAGCGAACGGTGCACAGCTAATGATAACGTTCTGCACATTCACTAATCACTAATTAATCTCCTCGTGCACAAAACAGAGCCTTGGGCTTGCGGGAACAACTCGGAGCATTTGCATTCCCAATTTCCTGTAACTGGGGAGGGCAGGGAATGGGAACGGGAACGGGAACGGGAACGGGAACGGGAACGGGAGCACCGCAACCATCGAGCCGTTCACCTCGGCACAGAATAATAACCAGGCGATCATCTCCCGGAGTATTTAATTAGAAATGTCGCACCTAATTGATTTCTTGGCTATGTTAATTAAGGAATAATGAGGACCAGGTTGCAGCAAAAGGTGCTGGTGGGAAGTTTTGGGTGTCTCTCCTGGAGGGTGGGTCCCTGAGCTGGCCGGGGAACAGCCAGGGGACAAGGCCAGGTGGTGTCACCATGTCCCAAACCTTCCAGCCTGGGCACGGCTCAGCTCCTTCCCTTTTCCCCACCCTGGGGTGTCATCAGCTCCCTTTGGGAAACACCACTTTGGGTTCTTCCCTGCTTTTTATGGCTTATTCCACACCTGGATCTGAGCCCATGACAGCGAATCCCTCGGGAATGCGAGGGGACACTGCCAGCACCGGCGTCTTCCAGCGGGGCGGGAGCCCGGACACCCTGGGGACACCCCTGGGACACCTCTGGGACACCTCTAGGACACCCAGGGACACCCTGAGACACCCTGAGACACCACCAGGACACATCTAGGACACCCCAGGACACCTCTAGGACACCCCTGGACACACTGAGACACCCCTGGGACACCTCTAGGACACCCAGGGACACCCTGGACACACTGAGACACCACCAGGACACATCTAGGACAACCTAGGACACCCCTGGACACCCAGGGACACCCTGGGACATCCCCAGGACACCTCCAGGACACCCCTGGACACCCAGGGACACCCCTGGGACACCCCAGGACACCTCCAGGACACCCCTGGACACCCTGGGACACCCCTGGGATATCCCCAGGACACCACTGGACACATCTAGGACACCCTGGGACATCCTGAGACACCCCAGGACACCCCAAGACACCCCAGGACACCCCTGAACACCCTGGGACACCCTGGAACACCCTGGGACACCCTGGGACACCCTGAGACACCCCCAGGACACCCCAGGACTCCTCTGGGACACCCTGAGACACCCCTGGAATATCCCCAGGACACCCCTGGACACCCTGAGACACCCCTGGGACACCCTGGGACATCCAGGGACACCCCTGAATACCCTGAGACACCCCAGGACACCCCAGGACCCCCCGGGACCCCCCCGGCTCCGTCTCCTTTTAACCCCTCCTTAGCCAGGGCCCGCGGCTCCCGGTGTAACTCCGAATGTGTCACAATAAAAGAGCCCCAGCGCCGCTCCGGGTGCAATTCCAGCGGGAATTTTGGGGGGCAGAGGCCGCGGGTATGATGGGCTGTTCGCCGGGAAGGAGCTGCTGGGGAGGGGATTTTCCTTGGAAGGATTTTCCCTGGATATGGGGGGGGGCTTTCCCAACAGCAGGAATTATGAATTTTGTGTGCTCGTATATAATTATACATAAATAATTCCAAAATCTGTATAATGCTAGAATATAAACAGATGTATAATTATAGGCATAATATATATAATTATCATCTAGTACATATAATAAAATATATAAGCCAATTGATATATTTTAAAATATGTAATTAGATATCATTATATATAATATAGACCTCGTAAAGCACAATCTATATTTTATATATACATATTCCATCCAAAATCTACGGTGTGTGTGCTAATAAATATATATAAAATATAAATTATAAAATACAATATACACAGTATATACGCATTTGGATGTGTATGTATGTGTGTATATATGCTGTATTTTATGTGTGATTTTATATTTTATATGTGGGTATTTTAGTTATGGATATGATTCATATATGTAGTACATATATATAAAAATTTTATATATATATACTTTATATATATATAATTTATATACATATAATTTATATATATAATTTTTATTTATATATATTTTATATATATATAAAATTTATATATATATATATATATTATATATATATATATATATATATATATATATATATATATAATTTATATATAAATATATATAAAATTATGATATGTGCTTTCCCCCAAATTCAGCCCTGGGTGTCCCGTCCCTGCAGGGGACATTCCCGAGGGATCCGCAGGGAACTGGAGCAGTTCGGGACATTCAGTCCCTGGGCAGGGGTGGAGCTGCCACTGCTGGAGCTGCCACACGCCTGTCACACCCCCGGGGACACCCCCATACCTGTCACACCTGTGGGACCCCCGGGGACACCCCCATACCTGTCACACCTGTGGGACCCCCCATTGACACCCCCATACCTGTCACACCTGTGGGACCCCCATTGACATCCCTGTCCTCACCCACCGCCATGGAGCCACCAAACCCCGCTTGTTCCCTCGCTCCCAGTTCCTCCCAGTGCCCCCAAGTGCCTCCCAGTTCCTCCCAGTTCCTCCCAGCACCTCCCAGTGCCTCACAGTTCCTCCCAGTTCCTCTCAGTGCCTCCCAGTTCCTCCCAGTGCCTCCCAGTGCCTTCCAATTCCTCCCAGCGCCTCCCAGTGTCCCCCAGTGCCTCCCAGTGCCCCTCAGTGCCTCCCAGTTCCTCCCAATGCTCCCCAGCACCTCCCAGCGCCTCCCAGTTCCTCCCAGTTCCTCCCAGTGCCCTCAGCACCTCCCAGTGCGCCCCAGCACCTCCCAGTTCCTCCCAGTTCCTCCCAGTGCCTCCCAGTTCCTCCCAGTGCCTCCCAGTTCCTCCCAGTTCCTCCCAGCGCCTCCCAGTCCCCCCAGTCCCCCCAGTTCCCCCAGTTTCCCCAGTGGCGGTCCCTCGGCCAGCTGCCCCCGCCCGCCGTGCCCCGCAGTCTCGGGGTGCGCTCCCAGCAGGATTTTCCTTTATTTCCACGCAGGACACTCACTACAGCCGCTGCCTCGGGAAGGGAACGCACACACACGGGCACGGCGAGAAAGAATAAATTAAAATAAACCATCATTAAAAAAAAACCCAAACGATGAAACCAACGGAGAAAAGTGGCGGATGAGGAGGGTGTGAAGGGTGGGAAAGGAGAATAAAAAGGCAAAGGACAAGGTGGGAGCATGGAGCCCCGGCAGGACCGGCTCGGCTCCAGCGCCGAGGGGGACGCGCGGTCCCGGGGCCGCCCTGGCAGCTCCTCTCCCTCCTCGGCGGGGCCGGAGCGCCCCGAAAGCCCCTCCGAGGGACCCCCGGGCGGCGGGGGAGGGACGGGCTCGGCCCCGCGCCCCCAGAAGGCGGCGGGTCCCTATGGGCCGGGGGGTGCCGCCGCCCGGGGTGCCCCCTCCTGCCCCGGGCTCCTCTCCGTGCTGGCCGCTCCAGGAGCCGCGCCCCGCCTTAGTCGTTGGAGGTGACATCGATGTCTTCCCCGCTCGACTGCTTGGTGGCCAGGCGCCATCGGTTGATGTGGTGCGAGCCCTTCTTCTTCTGCTCCGAGTCGGGGCCCTCCTCCTCCAGCTTCTGCCGTTTGTATTTCGTCCGCCGGTTCTGGAACCACACCTTCACCTGCGCACCGGAGACAGCGGCTCAGGGCCCCGGGGACACACAGCGGCTCTGGGCCCCGGGGACAGCGGCTCAGGGCCCCGGGGACAGCGGCTCTGGGCCCCGGACACAGCGGCTCTGGGCCCCGGACACAGCGGCTCTGGGCCCCGGACACAGCGGCTCAGGGCCCCGGGCACAGCGGCTCAGGGCCCCGGAGACACACAGCGGCTCAGGGCCCCGGAGACACACAGCGGCTCAGGGCCCCGGAGACACACAGCGGCTCTGGGCCCCGGAGACAGCGGCTCTGGGCCCCGGGGACAGCGGCTCTGGGCCCCGGACACACACAGCGGCTCTGGGCCCCGGACACACACAGCGGCTCTGGGCCCCGGACACAGCGGCTCTGGGCCCCGGGGACACACAGCGGCTCTGGGCCCCGGGGACAGCGGCTCTGGGCCCCGCCGTGTCCGGGCACGGCCGCTGCTGCGGGGGTGGGGTTCCACGGAGAGCGGCCGGGCTGCCCCGTCACTGTCACTGTCACTGTCACTGTCACTGTCCCGTCCCTGTTCCTGTCCTTGTCCTTGTTCCTGTCCTTGTCCCTGTTCCTGTCCTTGTCCCTGTCACTGTCCTTGTCCCTGTTCCTGTCCCTGTCACTGTCACTGCCCTGTCCATGTTCCTATCCCTATTCCCATCCCTGTCCCTGCCCCTGTCACTGCCCCTGTCCTTGTGGCTGTCCCTGTCCCTGTTCCTATCCATGTCCATGCCCCTGTCCCTGTCCCTGTTCCTATCCCTATCATCATCCGTGCCCCTGTCCCTGTCCCCATTCCTGTCCCTGTCCTGTCCCTGTCCCTGTCCTTGTCCCCGTCCCTGTCCCTGTCACTGTCACTGCTCCGTCCCTGTTCCTATCCATGTCACTGCCCTGTCCCTGTCACTGTCCTTGTCCCTGTCCCTGTCACTGTCACGTCCCCGTCACTTTCACTGCCCCGTCCCTGTCCCTGTTCCTGTCCTTGTTCCCGTCCCTGTCCCCGTCCCTGTCACTGTCCTTGTCACTGTCCCTGTCCCTGTTCCTATACATGTCCATGTCCCTGTCCCTGTCCTTGTCCCCATCCCTGTCCCTGTCCCTGCCCCGTCCCTGTTCCTATCCATGTCCATGGTCCTGGCACTGTCCCTGTCCCCATCCGTGTCCCTGCCCTTGTCCCTGATCCCGACCCTGTTCCTATCCCTGTTCTTGTCCCTGTTCCTGTCCCCATCCCTGTCTCTGTCCCCGCCCCGTCCCTGTCCCTGTCCCTGCCCTGTCCCTGTCCCCATCCCCATCTCTGTCCCTATCCCTGCCCTTGTCCCTGATCCTGAGCCTGTTCCTATCCCTGTCCCTGCCCTTGTCCCCGATCCTGTCCCTGTCCTGTCCCTGTCCCTGTCCCTGTCCCTGTCCCTGTCCCTCCAGGAGCGCTCCCACAGCCGCCCCGCCGTGCCTCAGTTTCCCAGGGCAGGGTGGGACACGAGGACAGATGCGGCTGCTGCCACCTCGCAGCCCTGGAGGAACGCAGGGGGTGAGGGACGCTCGGTGACACCGGGACAGGGCACGGGGGTGAAGGACGCTCGGTGACACCCAGGGACGGGACAGGGCACGGAGGGGTGCGGGATGGCACGGGCAGGGATGGGGGATGCAGGGATGCAGGGATGCAGGGATATAGGGATGCAGGGATGCAGGGATGCAGGGATGCAGGGATGCAGGATGGGGGATGCAGGGATGCAGGGGTGCAGGGATGCAGGATGGGGGATGCAGGGATGCAGGATGGGGGATGCCAGCAAGGCAGGATGCTGGTGGCAGTGGTGAGGGATGCAGGATGCTGCAGGAAGCACAGTGGATGGGGTAAGAGAGGTGGGATGCTGCAGGCAGGGTTATGGGGTATGGGATGCTGCAGGTGGGATGCAGGATGGGATGCAGGATGCTGCAAGTGGGATGCAGGATGGGATGCAGGATGCTGCAAGTGGGATGCAGGATGGGATGCAGGATGCTGCAGGCAGGGTTATGGGATGCAGGATGCTGCAGGCAGGGTTATGGGATGCAGGATGCTGCAGGCAGGGTTATGGGATGCAGGATGCTGCAGGTGGGATGCAGGTGGGATGCAGGATGCTGCAGGCAGGGTTATGGGATGCAGGATGCTGCAGCTAGGATGCAGGATGCTGCAGCTGGGATGCTGCAGGGAGCAGTGCTGGGTGCTGCAGGCAGGGCTGGGGGGTGAGGGATGGCACTGGGGTGGGATGAGAGATTGCAGCGGGGTGGGGGATGGCACTGGGATGGGACACTGCAGGCAGCGGTGCAGGATGAAGATGCCCCGGTCAGGATGAGGATGCCCCAGGTGGGTATGGGTTAACATTCCCATTCCAGGCTGGCATTCCCATCCCAGGCCAGCATTCCCATCCCATACCAGCATTCCCATCCCAGATCAGCATTCCCATCCCAGATCAGCATTCCCATCCCATCCCAGCATTCCCATTCCAGATCAGCATTCCCGGGAGCCGCAGCCCGCCTGGGAGCCCCCTCACCTTGGGCTGTCCCGGCTCAGGAGCGGCTCCTCCTGCCCCATCTCCTTTCCTGCCTCTGGGCCATCCCCGGGCTGGCCCCTTCCATCAGAGCATTTTGAGAACTTTAATTAAAGCCCTGGGAGCAGGGGAGTTCCTTATCCCCGAACTGCGGCAGGGGAACCCAGGCAGAAAGGATTAAATTTGCCTGAGCGTGGCTGTGCCGGAGCGGGGTGGGAGAGCAGTGGCCCTGCCCAGCTTGGTTCGGCCCTGCCCGGCTCAGTTCGGCCCTGCCCGGCTCAGTTCGGCCCTGCCTGGCTCGGTTCGGCCCTGCTCGGCTCGGCCCTGCCTGGCTCGGTTCGGTCCGACTCAGTTCGGCCCTGCTCGGCTCTGCCCGGCTCGGCTCGGCCCTGCCCGGCTCGGCTCGGCCCTGCCTGGCTCGGTTCGGCCCTGCTCGGCTCGGCCCTGCCCGGCTCGGTTCGGCCCTGCTCGGCTCTGCCCAGCTCTGCCCAGCTCGGTTCAGCCCTGCCCAGCTCGGTTCGGCCCTGCCCAGCTCTGCCCAGCCCTGCCCGGCCCTGCCCTGCCCGGTTCGGCTCTGCCCGGCCCTTCCCGGCCCTTCCCAGCCCTTCCCGGCCCTGCCCGGCTCGGTTTGGCCCTGCCCGGCTCTGCCCGGCCCGGTTCAGCCCGGTTCGGCCGGCATTCCTGCAGGCTGGGCTCCCCGGCCCTCCCGTGCCGCATCCCATGGTGGGAAGGGCGGGAGCAGCTCCCGGTGACATTGCCATCTCTGCCTGGGAACGCTGGCCCCAAGGTGACATTGCCATCTCTGCCCTGGCCCCAAGGTGACATTGCCATCTCTGCGCCAGCCCCAAGGTGACATTGCCATCTCTGTCCCTGAGAACGCCGGCCCCAAGGTGACATTGCCATCTCTGCCCCCATAACGCCAACCCCAAGGTGACATTGCCATCTCTGCCCTGGCCCCAAGGTGACATTGCCAGCGCCACAGTGGGGACAATTCAAATCCACAAGTCTGAGGGCGCCGGGGTGGGTCTGGGTGGGGACAGAGAGGGACCAGCCCTGGTGACACCGCCTGTGCTGGCTTGTCACCCAAAGTGCCACCACCCCCAGTGCCAGCACTGCTTCTCCACCTGTCCCTGCTGTCCCTGCAGGACCAGAACTTCTCTGCTTTGTTTTTGGGACAGTTCTCAAGGCAGGGGACAACTGCCAGCCTGGGGCTTCTCACGGGGCCGCTCTGCTCTATCTGGGCATCTTTCTCCTCCTGTGATTCCCAGGCATTTGCTCTGTTAATTATTAATTATTAATTATAGCCAGCACTGAGCCCCTGGCCGGGGCTGCTGTGTCCCTGCAGGGACAGCTCCAGGAGGGGACATTGGAATATCCAGGGGTTCCATAATCACCCCAAAGCTGAGAGGGGACAATGGGAAATCCAGGGGTTCCATAATCACCCCAAAGCTGAGAGGGGACAATGGGAAATCCAGGGGTTCCATAATCACCCCAAGGCTTTTAGGGGGACACTGGGATATCCAGGGGTTCCATAATCACCCCAAGGCTTTTAAGGGGACACTGGGATATCCAGGGGTTCCATAATCACCCCAAGGCTTTTAGGGGGACAATGGGATATCCAAGAGTTCCATAATCACCCCAAGGCTTTGAGGGGGACACTGGGATATCCATGGACTCCACAATCACCCCAAAGCTGAGAGGGGACACTGGGATATCCAAGGACTCCACAATCACCCCAAGGCTTTTAGGGGGACACTGGGATATCCAGGGGTTCCATAATCACCCCAAGGCTGAGAGGGGACACTGGGATATCCAGGGGTTCCATAATCACCCCAAAGCTTTTAGGGGGACACTGGGATATCCAGGGACTCCAGAATCACCCCAAGACCAGGAGGGGACACCAGGACATTTGGAGACCCCATAACCAGCCCAAAGTTCCCTCTGCAGGAGCCAGGGAGAGGCCTCTGCTCTGGGAATGTGGATTTGAGATCCCAGGTGGGGTTTGCCCCGTGAGCTGTGGGGGTTGGAGGGGCTCTGCTGGGAATTCTGGGCTCTGTGGTGCCAGAGGAGTCCATGGGAGGGGAAGTGACCTGGTGCCACCAGCGCTGGGCAGGGCCAAGCCGTGCCCACCCCAACAGGGCACAGCACGTCCCATTCCCAGCACACATCTCAGATCCCAGTGTGGCACAAAATCCTGGAGTACCAGAGGGGCTGGGAACCTGCTGATCCCACACAGTGCCTGGGATCCTACTGATCCCAGTGCCCAGGATCCTGCTGATCCCAGAGCATCCCAGTGCCCGGGATCCTGCTGATCCCAGTGCCCGGGATCCTGCTGATCCCAGTGCCCGGGATCCTGCTGATCCCACACAGTGCCCAGGATCCTGCTGATCCCACACAGTGCCCGGGATCCTGCTGATCCCACACAGTGCCCGGGATCCTGCTGATCCCAGTGCCCGGGATCCTGCTGATCCCACACAGTGCCCGGGATCCTGCTGATCCCACACAGTGCCCGGGATCCTGCTGATCCCACACAGTGCCTGGGATCCTGCTGATCCCACACAGTGCCCAGGATCCTGCTGATCCCAGTGACCAGGATCCTGCTGATCCCACACAGTGCCCCGGGATCCTGCTGATCCCACACAGTGCCCGGGATCCTGCTGATCCCACACAGTGCCCGGGATCCTGCTGATCCCACACAGTGCCCCGGATCCTGCTGATCCCACACAGTGCCCAGGATCCTGCTGATCCCACACAGTGCCCGGGATCCTGCTGATCCCACACAGTGCCCAGGATCCTGCTGATCCCACACAGTACCCGGGATCCTGCTGATCCCAGTGCCACCACCCTGCCCAGAACCCCCCCCACACCCCACTCAGTGCCACCTGTGTCACAGCCCATGTCCCCATCACACTCAAACCCCCGATGGCTCCCCTGGGTCCCACCTTCCCCAGCCTGATCCCACTTTTGGAACACCCGAATTTCCCTCAGGGCCCTGAGCTGCATTTTGCTCCCTCAGTCCCTTTGATATTGCTCTTCCGGGCCTGCTGGTCTAATTTTACCCCTAATTAACGCAGCTCCTCATAGCACAGCGGCTGGGAAGGGGTTAAAGCCCTGCGCCATCCCCACCCCATATCCCAGAGCATTGCAGGACCTGAATCCTTCTCACCTTCCCTTCGCTGCTCAGAGCTGGCACAGCCCAGAGGGAAAAAACTCCTTTTTCCAGGGGGAAAAGCAGCTGGGAAATAGGGTCAGGCACAGCCCTGAGCTGCAGCCCGGCTGGGAATTGTTAAATCCACGAAAAAATGGCAAACCCCCCCAAACTGTGGGTTTGGGTGTGGGGCCCCAGGTGAAAACACACCCGTGTCACACCAGGATGGATGGCATGGGTAAAGCGGGCTGGTTTTCCGTGGAAATTTGATTCCCCACAGGATTTATCACCGAATATTTAATTAATAATAATAATAGAAGTAGTAATATCCTGGGTTTGGCACAGCCACCGGCCCCTGGCTGTCCCACTCCTCTAATTCCAATACCCGGGTGTCTCCCATCCCTCGGCACACTGGGATTATTTCCCTCCAGGGAATTCAAACAGATATTTCTTTTAAAAATGATTTTTCCAAAGCCACAGAACAGAAAGGAAAAACATTTCCCTGCTGCCCGAAGCCCCCGCAGCCGCCGTTCCCGATGGATCCGCGGGAAGGACGGAGCCTTTCCCAGCCCCGCCGCTGCCTCCCAAAATCCCGCAAACACCACACGGCCAAACGGGCTGCAGCAGACAAAAATGAACATTTAAAATATCTCCGTGGCCTTTTCGCACTCTGAAATCTCCGCGGGGTTGGGGTTGGAGGCCGCTGTAAATGGAATTATTGCCTTTGGGCTCCAGGCAATGCTGGGGAAGGCCCGGGAATGGCCGAGCTCCCCTCGGGGCATCCCACCGCTGCCCTTTCCACCCCGACAAGTTCCTGGCTGTTCTTTGACCTTTGGGTTTTGTCCTTTTTTCCCCTTTTTTCTCCATTCCAGCCCAGGAGCTGACGGGAGCAGCGGGAAGGGCCCCGAGCCGGTGTCGGCGCTGAGTCGGGGCAGCATCACCCCCGGAATTCCACCAGCCTGGGGGTTTGGGGTCTGTCCCTGCTCCCCCACATCCACAGCTGCTCCTTCCCGCTGTCCCCATGCCGGTGACATTTTCCTCCCAGGAACTCCCCGCGCCCAGGGACGCGTCTGGAGGTTTTGTTTGGCAGAGCCTGGCCAAGGATGAGCCAGGCGGGTACTGGGAACACCCACGGCTCCAGCTTATTTCCCAACTCAATTGAAGCTTAAAAATTCAATTAATTCAGCACACAGGCCCAACCACCTCACCAGAATTTGGGGAAAACTTTCTCACTCCCTTCAGCTGCTGAATGAACATCCCAGGAAATAAAACTCCTTCTCCTGGAGCGTTTGGGAACAGCCGCTCGCGGAACACTGGGCTCGGGCACACAGAGATGCTCAGCCCCGACTCCCACATTTTCCCCAGCCCTGTGCACTTTTCCTTTCATCCTTGTGCTTTTCCTGGGTCTCCTTACATCTAAATTCCTGTGGATTCTGATCCCAGAAAGTCTCATCCAAAAGCAGCGCCCTTCGGTCTGCACGCCCATGCAGAATTCCGGGTGTTGGTGCACAGCCCCGGCGCCGCTCGGCTCAGCCACGCTTTTCCAGCTTTCCAGGGAAACCTTCAGGCTGCTGCTCCTTTCCGAGCAGGATTTTCCAAACCCCAAAATCCTCCCAGGGAAAAACCCCAAAGCAGCGAGAAACAACACCGGGAAGGCGCTCGGGGAGCCGGGACAAGGCCAGAGCCGCAGCCCCAAAGCTGCCACAGCTTCTGGAACACCCGAAAGCTGCCCCAAAAAACCCCAAACCCACCCCGAGGAGCCCGGAATGGCCACAGGATCTGGGGGTGCTGGGCAATCCCTGCTGGGGTTTCACACAGGAGCGCTGGGCGGGTCTGGTGCTGCTGCCAGGGCCCGGACACGGTGGGACATGGTGGGACAGGGTAGGACAGGTGGGACACGGTGGGACATGATAAGACATGATGGGACACTGTGGGACAGGTGGGACACGGTGGGACAGGATGGGACACGATAGGACACGATGGGACATGATGGGACATGGTGGGACAGGATGGGATAGGGTGGGACACTATGAGACAGGTGGGATGGGGTGGGACAGGGTGGGACAGGGTGGGACACGATGGGTCAGGATGGGACACGATGGGACACGGTGGGACACAGTGGAACATGGTGGGACACGGTGGGACACGATGGGACATGATGGGACACGGTGGGACAGGGTGAGACAGGTGGGACAGGTGGGATACGATGGGACACGGTGGGACACGGTGGGACATGATGGGACACTGTGGGACAGGGTGGGACAGGGTGGGACACGGTGCGACATGGTGGGACAGGGTGGGACATAGTGGGACACGGTGGGACAAGTGGGCCACGATGGGTCAGGGGTCCGGGGGCAGTACCTGTGTCTCGGAGAGGCTGAGGCTGCTGGCCAGCTGCTTGCGCTCGGCGCCCACCACGTAGTGGTTCTTCTCGAAGGCCCTCTCCAGGCGCAGCAGCTGCGATGGCGAGAAGGCCGTGCGGATGCGCTTGGGCTTGCGGGCGAAGGGGCCGTGCAGCAGGAGGCTCTCCTGGGACACCTCGCTCCCTGCGGGACAGCGGAGCTCAGCTCAGCCCGGCCCGGGGAGGGGAATCGCGGCGTTCGGGGAGGGTTCCCCCTCCGAAATCGCGGCGGTCGTGCCACGTTCTCCCCCTCGGAGCCTCTGAGCCCCGCGTGGGGTTGGACACGGCGCCAAAGGGAGGGGAGGGAGAGGGAAAGAATGAGAGGGAGATGGGATGGATGGATGGATGGAGAGAGCGGCAGGAAAAGGAGGTGGGAGGCAGAGAAAAAAATGAGACAGGGAGAAAAAGAAATTATAAAATAGGAGGAAGACTGAGAAAGTGACAGGAAAAAATAGAGGAGAAAAACTGAGAAAGAAAAAAGTGGAGAGAAAACAGAAAGAAAGAAAGAGGGAAGGCGACAAGGAAAGAGAGGAATAAAGTGGGAAAGTAATTTTTAAAAGAGGGAAAGAAAGAGAAATCAATAATGAAGGAAAAGAAAGTGAAAGGAGATGGAAAGAAAGAGACAATAAGTGGGAAAACAAAAAAAAATAAAAAGGAAAGAAGCAAAGGATAACGAAGGAGAGCAGGAAAGGTGGGAAGCGAGCGAGCGAAACAAGGTCGGAAGAAACGAAAGCAAGAGAAGGAACGGAAAATTGAAGGTGGGGAGAGAAGGAAGGACCCAGGGACGGCTCGGGAGAGCGGCGGGCCGGGCTCGGGGGCTGCGGGGGACCCGGGGCCGAGGGGCCCGGGCCGGTGCCCCCGAGCGCCGCCGGCAGCGGCCGCGATCCCCGCGGAGCCCCGGGGACAAACGAGGGGTTGGTGCCGAGCAGATAAAACTAATCCGGGCTGCGGGACCCCCCGGCACCGCGGCGGGACAGAGGCGACGGCGGTGGAGGGGAAACGGAGAGGCAAAAAAAAAAGAGAAAATAAAAACGGGAGGAAAAAAAAACGAGGGGAAAAAAAAGGTAAATAAAAAAGGAAAAGATGCAGCTAAAGAAAGAAAAAGAAAGAGGATAGGAAGGAACGGAGAGAAAGAAAATAAAGATACAAGAAATAGAGACAGAATCAGAAAATTAAGAGAAAGAAAGAAGGAACTAAAGAGAGAAAGAAAGAAAGAACGAAAGAAGCAAAACAAAAAAGTGAGGAAAAGAAAGAGAAGGAAAGAAAGAGAAGGAAAGAAAGAGAAGAAAGAAAGAGAAGAAAAAAATTAGGAGAAGAAAAGGAATCGAGAGAAAATCTACGGAACCAAACAACATCTCTCTGCGCAGCCGAGATCCGCCGCACCGAAATCCTTCCCCTCGTTCCCGGGAAGGAGAAAACCAAATTCCCGGCTCGGCTGCGCACGGCGGCGGCGGCGCCGGTCCCGTTCCCCGGAGCTCCGCGATGCTCGGCCGGGACTCTGCGGGGCTCTGCCCGGCCACGGCCACGGCCACGGCCCCGGGGCTGCGGGAGCGCTCCGGCCGCGGCTGAGCACGGCACCGGCACCGGGTGGTTAGAACCACCGAGTGCTCGGAACCACCGGGTGCTCAGAACCACCGGGTGCTCAGAACCACCGGGTGCTCAGAACCACCGGGTGCTCGGAGGTACCGGGTGCTCAGAACCACCGGGTGCTCACAACCACCGGGTGCTCGGAGGCACCGGGCGCTCAGAACCACCGAGTGCTCGGAGGCACCGGGTGCTCGGAACCACCGGGTGCTCAGAGCCACCGGGATTTGGAGGCACCGAGTGCTCAGAACCACCGAGTGCTCGGAGGCACCGGCTGCTCGGAACCACCGGGTGCTGAGAACCACCGGGTGTTTGGAGGCACCGGGTGCTCAGAACCACCGGGTGCTCGGAACCCCCGTGTGTTTGGAGGCACCGGGTGCTCGGAACCACCGGGTGCTCAGAACCACCGGGAGCTCGGAGGCACCGGCCCCGCTGCGGAGCTCCCGGGGCCCCGGCCGTGCGTGCGGGCCCGGCAGCAACAGGTCGCGGCCGGCAGCCGGACCCCCGAGCCCCGGGAAGGAGCCCCGGGAAGGAGCCCCGCAGCCCCCGGGGCCGCCGGCAGCCCCCGGCCCGCGCCCCCCGCCGCCCCGCTCACCTTGGAAGCGGTGGCCGAAGAAGCGGTTCCGCAGCACCCAGGGGTAAAAGTTGAGCGGGTCGCGGTGCTGCGGCCCGAAGAAGGGGTGCGGGGGCGGCAGGGCCGAGCCCCCCAGCTGGGGGGGCCCGACGGGCAGCGCCGGGTGCCCCACGGCCTCGGGGAAGACGAGCTCGGCGCTGCCGTACAGGGCCCGGCCGGCGGCTCCCTGGAAGCCGGGGGCGAAGGCGGCGGCGTCGGCGGCGGCGGCGGGGCCGGGGTAGGCGAGGGCGGCGGGGCGCGGGGGGTCCTCGGGGCCCAGGGGGGTGTCCTTGCCCACCAGGGACTCGATGGTGAAGCAGCGCTTCGCGGACGGCTGGAACATGGTGTGAGCCGGGAGCGGGGGGGCCGGAGCGGGGCCGGTCCTGCGGGTGCGCGCGTGTGTGCGGTGTGTGTGTGTGTGTGTGTGTGTGTGTGTGTGCGTGTGCAAGAAACCTCCCCCTGGGCACGGCACACACACGCGGACCCGCGCCCCGCACCCCTCCCTCCCTCCGCCCCCGCCCCGCCGCCCACCCGCGGGCGCCCACGCAGCCCCGGGCCCGGGCGGCCGCTCCACGGGCGGGTGGGACCGGCGGGACCCGCGGGGGCGCCTCACCTGAGCCCCGGGCCCGGCGGGGAGACCGGCGGGGGCAGGGCCGGGACGGGATGGAATGGGATGGGAGAGCCGGGAATGTGGGAATGGGATGGGAGAGCCGGGATGGGATGGGAGAGTGGGGATGGGATGGGATGGGGAGAGTAGGAAAGGTAAGGATGAGATGGGATGGGAGATCAGGGAATGGAGCGATGGGATGAGATCAGACAGGAGAGCAGGGCCGGGATGGGAGAGGAGGGAATGCGGGAATGGGATGGGATGGGATGGAATGGGATGGGTTGGGATAATGGGATGGGATAATGGGATGGGATAACGGGATGGGATAATGGGATGGGATAATGGGATGGGATGGGAATGCAGGGATGGGATGGGATGGGATGGGAGGTCAGGGAAGGTAGGGATGGGGTGGAATGATATGTGGGAGCAAAGCCAGGGTGGGGAGCGCAGGGGCAGGCAGGGATGGGATGGAAATCAGGGAATGTAGGAATGGGATGGGATAGGAGAGCAGGGCCGGGATGAAAAACAGGGGAAATAGGGACGGGATGGGATGGGAGAGCGGATCAAGGCAGGGATGGGTCGGTGCAGGATGGGGAGGGCAGGGCCGGGCAGTGGGAGGAAGAGGAGGCAAGAGGAGGCCGGAGGAGGAGGAGAAGGGCAGGCGGGAAGAGTCAGAAGAGGCACGAGGAGGCCGGGGGAGGCAGGGGAAGGCACGGCCAGGCAGGGGAGGACAGGGGGAGATGGGGCAGGAAAGCGAGGCAGGGGCAGGCAGGGGAGGAAGGGGAGGCAGAGGAGGCAAAAGGACGTAGAGAGCGCCCGAAAAACTGGACTGGAGCCGCTCCCGCAGGCCCGCCGCGAAGTTGCAGCAGAGGGGCTCCGGCTGCCGCGGGGGTTTCCCTTAAAAAAAAAAAAAATTGGAAAAAAATCTTTTAAAATTCCCTTTTTTTTCTTCTTATTTTGTTGGGTTTTTTTTCTTTTCTTTCCTTTTTTTTTTTTTCTTTTTATCCTTTTTTTCTCCTTATTTAAATAAATAAAGCGGCCCTTTCTGCAGCGGCCGAGCGGAACTGCGGCCCGCGGGGGGAGCACAGGTGAATCCTCCGCCCCCGCACAAGCTCCGCTCCCCTCCGCCTGTCCCCTTCCAAATTCCAAAGGCAGGACCTCCCCGCGCCCGAAACCTCTTCCCACCCCTCCGAAAAAGGAAAAAAAAATAAAATTCCAAATTGCAAATCTGCCAAGAAGCGGCGATTTTGGCCGCTCGGCCCCGGCGCGGGGGATGCGCGGGGGATGCGCGGGGGATGCGCGGGCCGGTCCCGAGTTCACTCCGCAGTTTGGCTCTGCTCGGAGTTTTGTCGGCCCGCGGAGGCGGGGGCCAACCCTCCCCTCCCGCACAAAGGGGGTTGAAAGTCTATTTTCCACTTGGCTGGATCGAAATACTCCGCGCGGGATCCTTCCCCCCGCGGAGAGGAGAGCGCTGCTGCGCGCCCGCGGGCTCTGCGCGGAAACGCTCCCGCAAGAGGCTGCGGGAAGAAGGATGGGGGCAGGAAAGGCAAAATGACACCAAATCCCTGAGAAGTGAAAGCCTAAAAATGGAGCGAGAGCGTCGGCAAAGCGGTTTATTTTTTTCATTTTTATTTTCATTTCCGCAAGAGAGAGAGAGAGGAAAATAATCGACATTCAAAATATTTTATAAATAGATTTTCAAATATATATTTCCGTTTATTTTTGAATAGGAAAATTGGAAATAAAGAAGAGGAGTTGGGTGAGAGAGCTGGCGGAGAGGGCAGCGGGAGCGGAGCGGGAACAGCCGCGGAGGGACGGGGATGGGAGGGAAGGGATGGGGAAGAAGGGGAAGGGGCAGAGATGGGGAAGGAGGGGAAGGGATGGGATCGGGAAGGGGAAGGAGAAGGGGACACGGGGACAGCTCGGCTCAGCGGCGGAAACTCTGCCGGGCTCCGGAGCGCTTGTGGAATTTCATTTAAATCAATTTAATCCATTGAATTCAATTTAATTTATTTTTTCTCTTTGGTTTTGTTTTTTATTTTTTTTCCTCGACCTTTTCTCTGCCCCCGGGGCCGGCGGGAGGGACGCGGCCCCTCCGGCCGTGCCCTGCGGGATCCGCGGCCCCGGAGCGCGGCGCGGGGCCGGGATTTCGTTCCGTGCGGATTTCCCGGTTCAGCATCTCCCGAGGGAGAGGAACGGGAAAGCGGCCGGGCTGCGGCTGCTCCCCGCGGGATCCCGCCGCCGGCAGCTCCCCTCGGCTCCCGAGGAACATTTTGGGGAGGCAGCGGCTTCGCTTTGGGGCTGAATCGCCCTCTCGGGAATTTATTAATTTTCACCTGATTTTGGTTTTTCCCTCAACTCGGCCCGGTGGTTTTCGGTCCCGGCGCAGTGTCCAGGCGAGGCTGCTCGGATGCTCCGAAGGGAACCGGGGAGCTGCTACGCTGAAACCGACCGAGAACGCCAAATTTATCTTTAAATTTCCTTTTCCCCTCTGCTCCCAGGCCTGCTCCCAGCTCCAGGATAGCTCCAGCGGGATTTTTATCCCTCCGGGAATAAACCCGCACCCGCCGAGCGAGGGTCTTGCTCGGGCCGGAGGTGCCCCTGGTTTATGGAGAGGAAAACTTTACCCGCGGAATGCCCGGAGAGGGGAGCCGGGCTGGATTCCGGCAAGGGGAAAAAAGGGAAAAAGCCATTTTCCTTTTTAACGAAAGAGCCGCCGGCCGTGCGAGCGCAGCCGAGGCCCGCAGGGACCGGGCAGGGGCGGCTGCTCCGGGCTCGGGGTACCGGGGGGGACAGGGGGGTCTGGAAACCCAACCGAGGGTCTGGAAACCCAACCGAGGGGTCTGGGAAACCCAACCCCGGGGTCTGGAAAACCCAACCGCGGGGTGTCTGAAAACCCAACCGGGGGGTCTGGAAAACCCAACCGGGGGACTGGAAACCCAACCGGGGCGTCCTGCGAGGAGCACGGGAAAGGGGAGGGAAGGAGAGGGAAAGAGGGGCAGGACGGGCACCGAACACGGCCGCGGGTTGGGGGTAGAGGGTCATTGGTGGGGTGGCACGGGTGGCAGAGGGACAGCGCGGTTCGTGTCCATCGCAGCCCCGGATCTGAGCCCGCCCGGGCCGGTCCCCGGAGCGGGTTCTGTCCCCTCGTTAATCGGTAACGCCGGGGCCATCACGGGGCACCGAGGGGAGCAGCGGCCCCGGGCCCGGAGCGCGGCTCGGCCGCCGCGTTAAAAGTTGACCGGACTTGAGAGCGCGGCTTCGTTTGCTCCTCCGCTCGCCCAGCTGCTCCTGCCGCGGGCACGGCTCGGCCCGGCTCTGCCCGGCACGGCTCCTGCCCAGCGCAGCTCCGGCCCGGCCTGGCTTTGCCCAGCTCTGCCCAGCACGGCTCTGCCCTGCCCGGCTCGGCCCGGCTCCTGTCAGGCTCGGCTCTGCCCGGCCCGGCTCTGCCCGGCGCAGCTCTGCCCAGCACGGCTCTGCCTGGCCTGGCTATGCCCGGCACGGCTCCTGCCCGGCACAGCTCTACCCAGGCCAGCTCTGCCTGGCCCAGCTCCTGCCCAGCACAGCTCTGCCCGGCCCGGCTCCGGCCCTGCCCGGCGGCTGTCTGGCACAGTTCTGCCCGGCTCTGCCCGGCCCGGCTCCTGCCCGGCTCTGCCCGGCCCGGCTCTGCCCGGCCCAGCTCTGCCCGGCCCAGCTCTGCCCAGCACAGCTCTGCCCGGCCCGGTTTCTGCCCAGCACCACTCTTGCCTGGCCCGGCTCCTGCCCAGCTCTGCCTGGCACAGCTCTGCCCGGCCCGGCTCTGCCTGGCTCCTGCCCGGCACGGCTCCGGCCCTGCCCGGCTGCTGCCCGGCACGGCTCTGCCCGGCCCGGCTCTGCCCAGAACAGCTCCTGCCCGGCTCCTGCCCGGCTCTGCCCTGCCCGGCTCTGCCTGGCTCAGCCCGGCCCGGCTCCTGCCACAGGCACGGCTCCTCCCCGGCCCAGCTCTGGCCCGGCTCCTTCCCAGCCCGGCTCTGCCCAGCTCTGCCCAGCCTGGCCCTTCTCACCCAGGGCACCCCCAGGGGACAGGAACACCGGGCCTGTCCGGGGCTGGGAGGGTACCCAGGTCCTGCTCCGCTTCTGCGGCTTCTCCTTCCATGGGCTCCTTCCATGGGCTCCTTCCATTGGCTTTGGCTCAGGAATAGTCCGGGTCGGAATAAATCGTCCCTGGAGCCAGCGGATTCCAGCAGGGAATTCCTGTCACATCCCACGGGTCCTTCAGTAGGGTGGGGTGTCACCTGCTCCTGGATGGATGGATGGATGATGGATGGATGATGGATGATGGATGATGGATGGATGGATGGATGGATGGATGGATGGATGGATGGATGATGGATGGATGGATGGTGGATGGATGGATGGATGGATGGATGGATGGATGGATGATGGATGATGGATGGATGGATGGATGGATGGATGGATGGATGGATGATGGATGATGGATGGATGGATGGATGGATGGATGGATGGATGGATGGATGGATGATGGATGATGGATGGATGGATGGATGGATGGATGGATGGATGGATGATGGATGGATGGATGGATGGATGGATGGATGGATGGATGGATGGATGATGGATGGATGATGGATGGATGGATGGATGATGGATGGATGGATGGATGATGGATGGATGGATGGATGGATGGATGGATGATGGATGGATGGATGGATGGATGGATGACGGATGGATGGATGGATGGATGGATGACGGATGGATGGATGGATGGATGGATGGATGGATGGATGGATGATGGATGATGGATGGATGGATGGATGGATGGATGGATGGATGGATGGATGGATGATGGATGATGGATGGATGGATGGATGGATGG